AATATAAAAAAGAAAATCAGATCAGCTTTTGAAATAGTTGTTTTAATGAAATTTGAGCCAACTAAACAGGTCATTCTCTTTAAAGGAGTAGTTCACTTTTAAAAAAAACTTTTGCTGATAATTTACTCACCTCCATGTCATCCAAGATGTCCATGTCATTCTTTCTTCAGTCGAAAAGAAATTAAGGTTTTTGATGAAAACATTCCAGGATTTTTCTCCATATAATGCACTTTACTGGTAACCAAACGGTTCAAGGTCCAAAAGACAGTTTCAGTGCAAAGGCTATATTTATTTTATTTTATTTTGTTATTTATATATTATTTTATTCCAATTACCTGTTTTCATACAGAAGTTTAGTTTGATAAATATATTTTAAAAAAATAGTTGTTTATTGGATGTGAAAAGGAACACTGCACTTTAGATGTGTGTGAATTTCCCATACCAGGAGTAATTTATATAGTTTGGTTTCATAGCCATTATCTGTTCAAAAATGTTTTTATGCAAAGTGTTCTATTAAAGAGAAGATAGAAAAAAAATATTTGTGTAAAGTGGTTTGAAAAAATGTAATCGGAATCGGCTAAAATCGGTATCAGCAGGTCAAACTCAAGGAAAAATCGGAAATTGGGATCGGCCTAGAAAATTGTAATCGGTACATTTTTAAACTGAATGGAATTTTATGACCTAATGATGAAAAAAAAAAGTTATGAATTTAATTGTATTAATTTTAGGTCGACCCAAAATTAGTTAAGAGGCGGTATCAATCAAAACTAAATTTGGTACGCTACTTCGAAACAATAATCTGAGGGTCTATGCGAGTGTTGTCAAAAGTACCAATTTCAGTTCCAAGTCTGTACTGAAATTTAAAAAATGTGATGCTTTGAGCGGTGTTGAGCGGAATAGTAAACACCTGATTGGCCATTGTGGTCACATGCTCATCGCATAAGTCTGTGATTGGCTTTAATGATCAATGCACGGGAAAGTACAGCACAGGGAAGTGTTTGAAGTGTTTTGAAAGCACAAGTAGGGTCATCTATCAGCAGACCGGACGCCTGCTTTCAAACATGTGCATTTGCGTAATTGCTCCATGAAGAGCGTATTTGATGTATATTATAACATGCTGTGCATTTACTAAATCTTAATTGAGTTGGTTCTTACTTGAACTATGGAACTAAGTGCATCTGTGTGATCATGTCTTTAAAGTGGTGCAATGAGATAAAAATGTGTGTGATGCTGTGCTATTTCAAATCTGTTCTCACCCGGGTAAGCATTGTACTGATCTTTCTTCCTCCACAAGTGTATTTTTGTTCATTCTGTGTTCATACTCATAAGTTAGTTTTGAGTTCATCCTACCTGTACATCTGAACCTTTCTGTTCATCATGTTCATTACATTTCTGCTGTTTTTATTCTTCCAGCCCTGCATCGCTGGTTGCAGCTATATTGTTCCTTATTTTTAAATACCTTGCTATATTTGTGATTTGTGTACTTTGTCCACCACTGGTTATGGTAATTCAGATGCATTTCTCTATCATTTAACATCCATATACTACTTATTACTTCCCAGCCACCAAAGCAGTCAACAATGAAGAATCAAGAATGGACACCAACCTATTTGTTCCTCAGTATCTTCATATTTTACTCTGGGTATTTCTGGATAACTCATGTCTTCAATCTCTTCTTTAATGAACTCCATCTTTAACAGTCACACAGGTTTCAGCTGCTACTCCTGGAGTTTGTCCTTCTCTTGTAGGATGATGGGAATATTCCCAGTATTTATTGGTGAATTGTTGTGAGAGGGGCTTCACTGCAGGTGTGAACTGTGTGATACTGACGCCCACAGGACCAGATCTGGAAAAAAACAAAAGATAAAAAAAATGTATACTGGATTACTTTAACAGAAAACACATATGGTGCCTTAAAGGGATACTCACACATGGCCCTTAATCTAAGAACGAGTTGTGAGACAGTGCTTATGATTTATGGGGATTTAAAAAAAAAAAAAGCACTGGGTGGATTTTTATCATTAGTCTGCCCTATAGGATGGTTGTGTACACACAATGCCAACACACACATATGTTCAATGAATTTAGCATAATTTGTGCCCTTTAAGATATCTTTAATAATTCTTGAGTTAACGACATGCACACAAGAAGTGCTTTTTCCCATTTTTGAACTGTCACATTGTCATATAACCCAACAAAGATGCCTAAAGTCAATAGATTTTAGTAATAGACCCACCAATCTCTGTGTAAAAAAAAAAATGATGCAGCCATCTTTCTAAAGTCATTTTTATACCCCTGTAATCTGGCTCCAAATCTTAGGTTAAAAAAAAAAACCCCAGTCCAAAATAGTGAATTACTCTCTAAATATAGGCATCCATGACATTTACGTATGAATGAAACAAATTACAGAGTTAAGCATTCAATAATTTTGGGTAAAAAATTTGGGAAAAAAACGTTTTATCACACTGATCACAGCTGAATGGCTTTTCTCCAGAGTGAAAGTGCCGATGATTATTGAGATCTGTATGTGAAACTTTTTCCACACAGAGAGAATAATGTGTGCAACTTCGAGGTTCAGATGATCCCAGATCTACCAAATTCAGGGTTACTGAGATTGTATTGAAATACTTTAATAATTACACTAATACACTTCCTAAATTAAATTCATGGTTTGATTTTGAAAATATATAATTTTGGTATGGTTATAGTAGCATAGTATTTGGCTCTATAGGAAGGTTGTTTATTTATATGGTACTCCAGATTTAATAAGGATGAAACAAAACAAGACACAGGTTAAACATATCACATTAAGTACAGACTGAAGAGGCTATTAATGACTATTTAATTCGTTTCACTACAAACAACGTACATTTAGACAACACAAAAATCAATTCTTACATTATAAATATAACATATCTGACCTGCAGACTGGAAATTTACGAGATCCGGAGTAAATATTCCACATTTGTCCTTCGTTCACGGTCGTAAACAAAGTCACTTTCAGCTTCAACTGATTAAAGTTTCAACAGAAACAATTAACATAACAATAACATACACTTACATTATCATAATGATCATAATGTAATCAACTAACGTTAGTACATTACGTCAAAGGAAACAAAAACAAAAAAGGGCACTCACGCATCCTCCTCTGCGCATGCTCAGTGCGCGCAGTGTCATTTTTCTTAAAGGGGCCGCATCCAGCAAATCTCCGCGGTGTTATGAAGCAAATACATTAATCAAATCATAAATAATACAAAATAGTTATACATAATATAAAGCTAGATAACTAAATTAAATTTGATTAATGACATGAAATTCATTTTAGGATGTATTTTAGAATGCATGATGGCTTTTCGTAAATGGGAGTTTTTTTTCGCAAATGGGAGTTTTACTTACTCAAAAAGTTCTGTTACAGCTTCAACCAATGAAACTGAAGCAAGGCAGGGTCAAGGCATTTGAATGTGCAGTGCAGAGGTATTGAGGAATAGTTGGAATACAAAGGCCGTTTCTCAATACCAAGTCCGCAAACTTGAACTCCAACCTCTTTGTATGATACAAGACCTGATATTTTGATTGACAATAATACTGTACAACCCAAACCTTTCACAGTATTAAATCTTTAATGTTGTTGAAACTATATAACTCATTATCTGTGTTCATTTAAATAGATAATTCAAGACAAGATGTTGTTTCTGTTTTATTTCTCGAAATTGCACATACTACCAGAAGACAATGTACATTTAGTAAATAAGAAAATAACATAGCCAATTCAATAAAGACATATCCACCAGCACACGATAAATCCTGACAGAATTTTATTTACACTGTAAGAGTTGTTGAGTGGTGAAACTTCAAATCTCAAGTCTTTCCAAGCTTTTCACCAAATTCACAAAATTAAACAATTACTTTTATAAAAAACTAAAATATTATCTCAGTTAACTCGTGAAGTAGCATAGTTAGTTATATGTTGTGTGTGTGTGAATATAAAACCCACCATAATCAATTATCCTGCATAGTAACTTTACAGAATTTTAAAATACAGTGCAAAATCTAGAACTGTAATTGATTTTATAGTATGAATTGTAATTGATATTTTATAGACATTTTTACATTTAATATGTTTAACGCAATGATATCAATTTCATATTCCATATGAACTGAGTAACTTCAAGTAAGAAAAATTAAATAGATCTCAGAAACTGCATTTGGTACATTAACAAATACAATTGAGTATTCTTTGGTGCTGTTTCAGTTGGGTAAATGTAAAGCTCTTCCCACAGTCACAACACACATGATCCCTCACTTCATCATGTGTTTTCTGGTGATGTTTACAATTGTCCAGCCTTAAAAAACTCTTTCCACAGAGAGAACACACATAAGGCTTCTCATCTGAATGAACTGTCAGGTGTTGTTTTAGTTTTGATGATGAAATAAAACAGTACGCGGTACGAGAGAATCTCTCGTAAGAGACCTAATGTTGATCACTTGAAACATTTTTTCATATGTGTGTGAAGGTTTGATAAACATTTAAAAGTCTTTTCACACGTAGTACAGCAGTACGGCTTCTCTCCAGTGTGAACTCGCTCATGTAGTTTCAGAGATCCAGACTGAGCGAAATTCTTGTCACAATATGAGCACTTGTAAGGTTTTTCTCCAGTATGAATTCGCGCATGTGAACTCAGTGTTCCCAACTGAGTAAAACTCTAGCCACAATATTTGCACTTAAAAGGTTTTTCTCCAGTATGAATTCTTTGGTTCCGTCTCAGTTCAGCAGATGCAGTAAAGCTCTTCCCACAGTCACAACACACATGATCTCTCACTTCATCATGTGTTTTCTGGTGCAGTTTAAAACTGTACAGTCGTGAAAAACTCCTTCCACAGAGAGAACACACATAAGGCTTCTCATCTGAATGAACGATCAGGTGTTTTTTAAGATTTGATGACAAATTAAAATCTTTTCCACACTGATGACAGTTGAATGGTTTTTCTCCAGAGTGACGGCGCAGATGTTTACTGAGAGTTGATGCTTGAGTAAAACTCTTCTCACACTGAGTGCATGGATACGGTTTCTCTCCAGTGTGAATTCTCATGTGTCTCTTAAGGTTTCCTTTCTTTTGGAAACTCTTTCCACACTGAGAGCAGGAGTGCAGCTTATTGGCTTTTGTTTCTTGAGTTTTGAAGTCACAGTGTTTCTTTACGTAATTTAGTTTCTGTCTTTGTTCCGTCACTTCCAGCTGGTCTAAAATAAACATATTGGTTAAAAGTGAGAATTAAAAACAGTTAGCAAGCAGAAAACAAGACACCTGTCTGTATAAAGTATCTTTAATGAGCAAAGTTCGGTTCTTTCATTCACATGTTAAAGCGATAAAAAGTGGTTTATGATCATTTAGATGCATTTCACTATCATTTGTAATCCATATTTCAGAGCAACGAAAGCAGTCAACAATGAAGAATCAAGAATGGACACCAACCTATTTGTTCCTCAGTATCTTCATGTTTTATTCTGGATGGTTCTGGATCAGTCATGTCTTAATCTCCTCTTTAATAAACTCCATCTTTAACAGTCTCACAGATTTCAGCCGCTATTTCTTGATTTAAGAAATATCGATCATTTTGATATGGTTATATATTTGAGACTCCAGATTTTATAAGGGTAAAACGAGCCACATATTAAATTATTTAATTAATATATCAAATAAACAGGAATCTTACAAACATAACATAAATCATACACAATATTCCTATACATTTGCTAATCAGAACTAATGATAATGAAAAAGTCTCTGAGAAATTTAAGCAACACAAACATCAATTCTTACATCATAAATAACATATCTCACCTGCAGACTGGAAAAATGCGGCATTTGGAAAAAAATATTTCACATTTGCTCTTCATTCATGATCGTTAACGCGTCACTTTCAGCTTCAAATGGTTAAAGTTTCAGCGCTCGATCGTCTCTTTTCTCTTCTTTAATGCAACAAGTGTTATATTCATAATAGCGTTAAAGGAAACAACAAAAAGAGAGGGAGAGAAGAAAGAAAACAAAACTATAATAGAGAGGCTATCGCAATTCTTTCTTCTGCGCATGCTCAGTGCGCGCGGTGTCATATTTCTTAAAGGAGCCGCATTCAGTAAATCACATCTTCGCACAGTTATGGACCAAATCCACTATTATAATAATAATTTATAATAGATTCAGCTTGAATCGATTACAGTTTCAGTGTTGTTTTTACATGTCTCCCTTATTATGTTATTGCAGCCTAATTATAGGGGTTTCTTTTGAAGAGCCTACATGAATAGATATCTACAGCAGTTGCAAGGCCAGAAACTTTAAAGTGAGCGGATCTTGGTAAATTAAGTTGGACCTCAATGTTAAATGTGATTTATTGTCAGCCATCAGTTTCATTAAAACATAATTAGTCAGAAAATAAAAGTCAGTAAACAGAACAAGAAAAAAAAACACAAAGGTAAATAATTTGTGTGTGTGTGTGTGTGTGTGTGTAAGGCTGGACAATATTTCTAACTCAAACCACTGCCTGCTGTGGCTTTTGATTGCTGCTGGTCTAGGATCAGTTTTCTCCATAATAATAGCATTGGCGGTTGCCTCAGCCTGTTGACACTAATGACTTCACCATAATTAATGAGGTGAAAACAGGGAACTAGACCTTATTCAGAGCAGCGCCATGAACAGCTAGGCTGTAAAGATCTTCATTTGTGTTTTGTCTTACAGGTTTGGAACAACATGAGGGTCAGTAATTAATGACAGAATTTTCATTATTGGCTTAAGTAACCCTTTAAATCGTTCCAGTTAACCAATCTTTACATCAAATTAACCCAATCTATCTATTTGATATAGTGCTTTTATGAAAAACTCCATATTTTATCTCAATTTACTTTATTGTATTTGACATGAAAACAAATGTTGGTCACTTGAAACATTTTTTCCTATGATTGTAAAGGCTTGCTAAATGGTTAAAAGTCTTTTCACACTGAGTACAGTGGTACGGCTTCTCTCCGGTATGAAGTCGCTCATGTACTTTCAGAGATCCAGGCAAAGCAAAACTCTTGTCACAATCTGAGCACTTGTAAGGTTTTTCTCCAATATGAGTTCTTTGGTGCTGTTTCAGATAGTCAGCTCTGGTAAAGCTCTTCCCACAGTCACAACACACATGATCTTTCACTTCATTGTGTATTTTCTGGTGCAGTTTAAAACTGAACAGCCGTGAAAAACTCTTTCCACAGAGAGAACACACATAAGGCTTCTCATCTGAATGAACGATCATGTGACTTTTCAGATGTCTTGACAAAATGAACTTTTTCCCACACTGATCACAGTTAAATGGTTTTTCTCCAGAGTGAACGCGGAGATGACATTTTAAACTTTTTGCAGCTTTGAAAGTCTTCTCACACTGAGTACAGTAGTGCGGCCTCTCTCTAGTATGAACTCTCCCGTGTTCTTTCAGGTGTCCGGATTGAGCAAAACTCTTATTACAAACTGAGCACTTGTAAGGTTTTTCTCCAGTATGAATTATTTGGTGCTGTTTCAGATAAACAGATCTAGTAAAGCTCTTTCCACAGTCACAACACACATGATCTCTCACTTCATCATGTGTTTTCTGGTGATGTTTAAAACTATTCAGTTGTGAAAAACTCTTTCCACAGAGAGAACACACATAAGGCTTCACACCTGAATGAACTTTCATGTGTCGGTTTAGATTTGATGACGAAACAAAATATTTCCCACACTGATCACAGTTAAATGGTTTTTCTCCAGAGTGATGGAGCAGATGAACACTGAGACCGGATGCTTTAGAAAACCTCTTTCCACACTGAGAGCAGGAGTGCAGCTTTTTGGCTTTTGTTTCTTGAGTTTTGAAGTCGCAGTGTTTCTTTTCGTCATTTAGCGTCTGTCTTTGCTCCTTCACTTCCAGCTGGTCTAAAATTAACATATTAATCAGTTAGAATCAATTCAATGAGGTTAAATGTGAGAAAAAACACTTAGCAAGCAGAAAACAAGACACTTCTTTAGGGGTGTGCCGGTTTCAGAATTGGTGATGACGGTTATGAAGTGAGTCAAATGTGATGGTCCGTAACATAACCGTTGTCGGGGGAGGGGCGTTGCGACGTTTGTCTGTTATAGGACAACTTACTTAGAAAACTAGCAGTGGATGTGTTTTCCATTAATTGAATGACACACAGTAAACAAATCCTTAAAAAAAAAATCAAATAAAAGACACGTCTATTCTGGTGGGCGCAGCAGTGATGCGGTTTGCATGTTCATGTAACATGTAAGAGTGGCTCTGCCAATAAAGCACCTAAAAGCTGTCACAAAGAACCGGCAAAAGTAATGATTATGAATATGTCAAATATAGCAAGGAGACATTTTAATTGTTTATTAACCCTCTAGGTGCCACGGTTGAGTTTACTCAACAAGATGCGGCACTGTTACTCCCCAACAGTGACATTAGTAGCCTATAAAACCTTATCTGCAAGATATTTTAATAACACAGTTTTGGCGGTTATAGAGCTCTAATGATGGCGTTCATCTATAACCATCAGTCTCACGTTATATAATAACCGTCACACCCCTACACCTGTCTGTATAAACTATCAAGTATATTTGATATGAAATCAGTTTTGTCATTCACTTGTTAATGCGATTAAAACTGGCTTATGATCGTTTAGATGAATTTCTCATCCATATTTTCAGAGCTACGAAAGCAGTCAACAATGAAGAATCAAGAATGGACACCAACCTATTTGTTCCTCAGTATCTTCTTGTTTTATTCTGGTTGGTTCTGGATCAGTCATGTCTTCAATTTTCACTTTAATAAACTCCATCTCCTCTTTAATCTCCTCTTTAATAAACTCCATCTTTAACAGTCTCACAGATTTCAGCTGCTACTCCTGGAGTTTGTCCTTGTTTTGTAGGATGATGGGAATATTCCCAGTATTTATTGGTGAATTGTTGTGGGAGGGGCTTCACTGCAGGTGTGAACTGTGATCACTGTGTGATACTGACGCCCACAGGACCAGATCTGGGAAAATCAGAGATAAGATACTGAATTTATACTGGAATACTTTAACAGTAAACACATATGGTGCCTTTGTTTTAGTTCAGATATAGAGCATTGCGATTGGTTAAATATTAGCAGAAAAAAAAAAATTAGGTTGATCATTTGTATGTAAATCCCAGCATATAATAAGGATGAAACAGGGCACAGATTCTATTATTTAAGTAATATCTAAACTAATCAGAAATATAATATAAGACAACATAAATCAACCACTGAATAAAGGACTGAGAATGATGCCACAAAAGGAAATAATTTAACACTTGACCATCAAAATGTGGATAACAAGTACTTTAGAATATGATAATTTAAGTGTTTTTTTTTTCAGAATAATTTATCATATATTTCTTATTATTTAATTAAATGTATCATATATTGCAATTGCAACTAAATCTTTCTTAATTTTTGAATTGTTCTGAGGAACACCAGATGAAATAGTTTAATAATAATAAATAAAATGACCACAATGTTCTTGATTTAAGAAATATCGATCATTTTGATACGGTTATATATTTGTGACTCCAGATTTTATAAGGATGAAAACGAGTCACATATTAAATTATTTAATTAATATATCAAATAAACAGGAATCTTACAAACATAACATAAATCATACACAATATTCCAATACATTTGCTAATCAGAACTAATGATAATGAAAAGGTCTCTGTGAAATTTAAGCAACACAAACATCAATTCTTACATGATAAATAACATATCTGACCTGCAGACTGGAAAAATGCGGCATCTGAAAGAAATATTTCGCATTTGCTCTTCATTCATGATCGTTAACCGCGTTACTTTCAGCTTCAAATGGTTAAAGTTTCAGCGCTCGATCGTCTCTTTTCTCTTTTTTATTGCAACACGTGTTATAATAGCGTCAAAGGAAACAACAAAAAGAGAGGGAGAGAAGAAAGAAAACAAAACTCAGAGAGGCTATCGCAATTCTCTCTTTTGCGCATGCTCAGTGCGCGCGGTGTCATATTTCTTAAAGGGGACGCATTCACTAAGTCACATCTCCGCACTGTAAAATCAATACTGTGACAGTAATCGAGTCAAGCTGAATCTATTATTAATTATTATAATAGTGGATTTGGTCCATAACATGTCTTATGTCATTGCAGCCTAATTATAGGGTTTTCTTTTAAATCCATGAATAGATATCTACAGCAGGGGCAAGGCCAGAAACTTTAAAGTCCCCGTGAAATCAAAATTGAACCTATTTACTTTGTTAGCGCATATTACTAGTCTTGTGGTGAACAATTAATCCGTGCAAGTGAATATATATTTAAAAAATGTTTTACCTTAGTAATCTTTAATCAAAATCTTAAAAGTTACTTCCGGTCTGGAACGGTTTCTTTTTCTGATGACGTAGGTTTCACAGTTTGGGTGGGGAAACGCTTAACCACTCCCCTCAAACCGTTAGTTTGCTAACGATGGAGAGGAGGAGCGCTAGAGTAAAACCCTGCCCTCTGTTCAATGTTCCGTTTCACTTGGAAATACGTCACAGCACTGGAGAAAAATCGTTTGGAACTTCCGGTTCACGGGGACTTTAAAGTGAGCGGATCTTGGTAAATTAAGTTGGACCTCAATGTTAAATGTGATTTATTGTCAGCCATCAAATTCATTAAAACATAATTAGTCAGAAAATAAAATAGTCAGTAAACGGAATAAGAATAAAACACAAAGGTAAATAATTTATAGGAGATGTGTGTGTGTGTGCTGTGGTTTTTAATCACTGCTGGTCTAGGATCAGTTTTCTCCATAATACTATGGTGGTTGCCTCAGCCTGTTGACAGGTTTCACTAATTATGACAGCTAGGCTGTAAAGATCTTCATTTGTGTTTTGTCTTACAGGTTTGGAACGACATGAGGGTCAGTAATTAATGACAGAATTTTCATTATTGGCTGAAAGTAACCCTTTAAATCTTTCTAGTTAACTAATCTTTTCATCAAATTAACCTAATCTATCTATTTGATATAGTGCTTTTATGAAAAACTCCATATTTTATCTCAATTTACTTTATTGAATTTGACATGAAAACAAATGTTGCTCACTTGAAACATTTTTTCATATGTATGTGAAGGCTTGCTAAATGTTTAAAAGTCTTCTCACATTGAGTACAGTGGTACGGCTTCTCTCCGGTATGAAGTCGCTCGTGTACTTTCAGAGTTCCAGGCAAAGCGAAACTTTTGTCACAATATGAACACTTGTAAGGTCTTTCTCCAGTATGAGTTTTTTGGTGCCGTTTCAGATAGTCAGCTCTGATAAAGCTCTTCCCACAGTCACAACACACATGATCTTTCACTTCATTATGTGTTTTCTGGTGCAGTTTAAAACTGAACAGTCGTGAAAAACTTTTTCCACAGAGAGAACACACATAAGGCTTCTCATCTGAATGAACGATTAAGTGACTTTTCAGATGTCTTGACAAAATGAACTTTTTCCCACACTGATCACAGTTAAATGGCTTTTCTCCAGAGTGAACGCGGAGATGATATTTTAAACTTTTTGCATCTTTGAAAGTCTTCTCACACTGAGTACAGTAGTGCGGCCTCTCTCTAGTATGAACTCTCCCGTGTTCTTTCAGGTGTCCGGACCGAGCAAAACTCTTATTACAAACTGAGCACTTGTAAGGTTTTTCTCCAGTATGAATTATTTGGTGCTGTTTCAGATTGTCAGCTGCAGTAAAGCTCTTCCCACAGTCACAACACACATGATCTCTCACTTCATCATGTGTTTTCTGGTGATGTTTAAAACTATTCAGTTGTGAAAAACTCTTTCCACAGAGAGAACACACATGAGGCTTCTCATCTGAATGAACTCTCATGTGTCGGTTTAGATTTGATGACGAAATAAAATATTTCCCACACTGATCACAGTTAAATGGTTTTTCTCCAGAGTGATGGAGCAGATGAACACTGAGACCGGATGCTTTAGAAAACCTCTTTCCACACTGAGAGCAGGAGTGCAGCTTTTTGGCTTTTATTCCTTGAGTTTTGAAGTCACAGTGTTTCTTCACGTCATTTAGTTTCTGTCTTTGCTCCTTCACTTCCAGCTGGTCTAAAATAAACATATGAATCAGTTAGAATCAGTTCAATGAGGTTAAATGAGAGAATTAAACACACTTAGCAAGCAGAAAACAAGACACCTGTCTGTATAAAGTATCTTTAAAAAGTCAGTTTTGTCATTCTCTTGTTAAAACGATTAAAACTGGCTTATGATCATTTATATGCATTTCTCTGTCATTTGTAATCCATATTTTCAGAGCAACGAAAGCAGTCAACAATTAAGAATCAAGAATGGACACCAACCTATTTGTTCCTCAGTATCTTCATGTTTTATTCTGGATGGTTCTGGATCAGCCATGTCTTCAATTTTCACTTTAATAAACTCCATCTCCTCTTTAATAAACTCCATCTCCTCTTTAATCTCCTCTTTAATAAACTCCATCTTTAACAGTCGCACAGATTTCAGCTGCTACTCCTGGAGTTTGTCCTTCTCTTGAAGGATGATGGGAATATTCCCAGTATTTATTGGTGAATTGTTGTGGGAGGGGCTTCACTGCAGGTGTGAACTGTGATCACTGTGTGATACTGACGCCCACAGGACCAGATCTGGGAAAAACAATTTATACTGGGTTACTTTAACAGTAAACACATATTATGGTGCCTTTGATTTACTTCAAATATAGAGCATTTTGATGGTTACATATTAGTAGCAAATAAAAAGAGGTTGATTTTTTTTTATGTAAATCCCAGCATATAACAAGGATAAATCAGGGCACAGATTCTATTATTCAATTAATATCTAAACTAACAAGAAATCTAACATTAGATGACAGAAATCAACCATCGATTGAGGGACTGAGAATGATGACACAAAAGAAAATAATCTAACACTTGACTATCAAAATGTGGATAACAAGCACTATACATGATTATTATAATTTAAATGTATTCAAGAATAATTTATCATATATTGTTTGTTATTTAATTTAATTGCCATTAACAGTTGAACCAAAGCTTTCTTATTAGGTGAACTATTTTGAGGGACACCAGATCTGCCAAATTCAGGGTAACTGAGATTATACTGAAATACTGTAATCATTACACTTCTTAAAGGAGTAGCTCACTTTAAAAAAAAAACTTTTGCTGATGATTTACTCACCCCCATTTGTCATCCAAGATGTCCATGTCTTTCTTTCTTCAAAGAAATTAAGGTTTTTGATGAAAACATTGCATTTTTCTCCATATAATGCACTGACTTTACTGGTAACCAAACTGTTCAAGGTCCAAATGAGAGTTTCAGTGCAAACTGTTCAAAGGGCTTTAAACGATTCCAGATGACGAATAAGGGTCTTATCAAGCGAAACGATTGCTCGTTTAATAAATAAATAAATAACAAAGTTTAAGTATTATAAGCTCAAATGCTCGCCTTGTTCTGTTTTGTGATGCAGAAAAAAATCAAAATGAATGAATCTTTATCCGAGTCAATTCGTTCATTTTGATGAACGAGTTCGAACAGGAGAGTCACGAACGCGCATCACAGAACAGAGCAAGGCGAGCATTTGAGCTTATAAAACTTAAACTTCGTTTTTTACTTTTTAAATGAGCGATTGTTTCGCTTGATAAGTCCCTTATTCATCGTCTGGATTCGTTTAAAGCCAATTCAACAGTTTGCACTGAAACTGTCATTTGGACCTTGAACCGTTTGGTCCCCATTGAATTCCATTATATGGAGAAAAATCCTGGAATGTTTTCATCAAAAACCTTAATTTCTTTTCGATTGAACAAAGAAAGACATGGATATCTTGGATGACATGGGGGTGAGTAAATTATCAGCAAAAGTTTTTTTTTTTTTTTTTTTTTAAAAAGGGAACTACTCCTTTAAATTAAATGACTATGTGGTGCTTGATTTTAGAAATACAGATAATTTTGATATGGCATTTATAATGTCTCTATATGAAGGTAATTAATTTGTATGTGACTCCAGAATTTATAAGGATGAAACAAATTAAGTTATTCAATTCATATGTGAATTAAACAGGAATCTAACAAAGCTATAGAAATCATAGGCCTATATATATACAATGTCTTGAATAGTGGCTGATCAAACTACAAATTTAATTATCTGTACGTTACAAAATGTACAATATACATTTAGATAACAAACATCAATTCTCGTATGATAAACATTAGATCTCTGACCTGCAGACTGGATACGGCATATTTCGCATTTGCTCTTCATTCAAGATCGTTAACAGCGTCACTTTCAGCTTCAAATGATTAAAGTTTCAAGTCTCTCGCGCTTTTAGCTTTTTTGTTGCATTATCAAGATCATTAATATACCATACACTTAGGCTACAGGATCGCCATTTGTTCGACTATTACATTCAAAATAGCGCAAAAGGAAATAACAAAACGAGAGAGGGAGAGAACAAAACTTTCTGCGCATGCTCAGTGCGCGCGGTGTCATTTTTCTTAAAGGGGCCGCATTCAGTAAATCGCATCTGCACTGTTATTCAAATCCATCCAGTACTATAATAATAATAATGCACAATTCGAATACATATAATATTTGGATCAACAATAAATTCACATTTACTCTATTATAGTTACAGTTTTTATACATGTCTCCCTTATTATGTAATTGCAGTCTAATTATATGGTCTTCTTTTGAATGCAGATATCTACAGCAGTGGCGAGGCCAGAAACTTAAAAGTGAGCGGATCTTGGTGAATTAAATTGGACCTCAATGTTAAATGTCATTTATTATCAGCCAACACTTTCATGAAAACAGCAGTGAGATTACTGATAGATAGATTCATAAAACCTGGAGCTCTAGTCCATAAAATCAAAGATGTCAAGCTCCTGAAAGGTCAAACACTATAACCTCAAGAATGGACTCGTCTAGACCAGGGGTTTTCAAAGTCTATGACAGTGGGCCTCCCTTTTGACACAACTTACCCAATGCCCCCCCCCCCCCAAAAAAAAAAAAAAAAAAAAAAAAAACACACACACACATATCATTGTCGGACTCATTGTCTTAAGAATTACAGACTTAATTCCTCACTTTATCATTGTTTGTGTGAACATGAAAAGTCCTGAAAAGTGCAGTTAGGCCTCATTCAGTGAAATGTGACGGGTCCATTCCGATTGCTAGGTCTAAACTAGCGATTTCTTTTCACTTAGTTATGCCCCCAGTACTAGCATTATACAATAAACAGTTTTTAGAGATAAAATTCTTTACATTCGATTATAATGAAAACAAATCTCAGAGAACGATTGGTACCGATGTTTATTAGACCAAAGGTTCATTTTGCGCCGGAGTTCTCCTTTAACCGTGTTCCTGCAGGTTTCTTTTGCCAAATTGGACTAATTACCATATTTAAATACATTTAATTGAGGCAGGAGACTGGGTGGGGCGTTGTGTTCGTGCAAGTGCGCTCAATTTTACGTTAATTGGAATGATACAAAGAGAATATGCATGATGGGATACTTCGTATGCAGAGATTCATACATCTGTTTTGTTTTTTTGTGCGTACGCACATTTACAGCTTTGTTCGTACGCAATGTTTTAGTATGAATTTAACGCAAGTGTTTGTACATGAGGCCCCAGGACTTGCAGAATCTCTTGCTCATTTATACCTCAAATGCTAAATTCAGTCTACTTGACTTTCTCAGTTTATATACTATTGTACTGGAAACCTAAATTAAACATTTAATAAATTTGTAACACTACAAATGACAATAAAATAGAAACGCTTCAAACAAGTTCATAAAGAAATTTTAAAAAATAATCCAAATGAATCCAGAGGTTTAGTCAAACATTTTCTGAAGAGACGCAGTTGCTTCATTTGATGAAAAGATTGAAATTAGGCTCTCAGATTTCATCAAAAAAGATCTTTATTTGCGTTTTGAACGAAAGTCTTACAGGTTTGGAACGACATGATGGTCAGTAAATGAGGGTCAGCATTTTCATTTTTGGCTGAATTAACTAACCCTTCAAATATTTCTAGTCACCCAAGCATTTCACCAAATTATTAATTATGTGCTCTGATGAAATACTCAATATTTTATCTTAGTGTACTTTAATGTATTTGACATGAAAATGAATGCTGATCACTTAAAACATTTTTTCATATGAGCGTGAAGGCTTGATAAACGTTTAAAACTCTTTTCACACGTAGTACAGTGATACGGCTTCTCTCCAGTGTGAACTCGCTCATGTAGTTTCAGGTTTCCAGACTGAGCGAATTTCTTGTCACAATATGAGCACTTGTAAGGTTTTTCTCCAGTATGAAGTCGTGCATGTAAATTCAGTGTTCCCAACTGAGTGAAACTCTTGTCACAGTATGAGCACTTGTAAGGTTTTTCTCCAGTGTGAATTCTTTGGTGCCGATTCAGTTCACCAGATGTAGCAAAGCTTTTCCCACAGTCACAACACACATGATCTCTCACTTCATTGTGTGTTTTCTGGTGCAGTTTAAAACTGTATAGTCGTGAAAAACTCTTTCCACAGAGAGAACACACATAAGGCTTCACATCTGAATGAACAATCAGGTGTTTTTTAAGATTTGATGACAAATTAAAACCTTTACCGCACTGATCACACTTAAATGTTTTTTCTACAGAGTGAATGTGCAGATGATAACTGAGAGTTGATGCTTGAGTAAAAGTCTTTCCACACTGAGTGCATGTATACGGTTTCTCTCCAGTGTGAATTCTCATGTGTATCTTAAGGTATTCTTTATTCTTGAAACTCTTTCCACACTGAGTGCATGTATACGGTTTCTCTCCGGTGTGAATTCTTGTGTGTCTGTTCAGGTTTCGTTGATTTTGGAAACTCTTTCCACACTGAGAGCAGGAGTGCAGCTTATTGGCTTTTGTTTCTTGAGTTTTGAAATCGTAGTGTTTCTTCACGTCATTTAGTTTCCGTCTTCGCTCCGTCACTTCCATCTCGTCTAAAATAAATATTTTAATCAGTTAGAATCAGTTCAATAATGTTAAATGTGAGACTTAAAAACACTTAGAAAGCAGAAAAAAGACACCTGTCTGTATAAAGTATCTTTAATGTGCAAAGTTTGGTTCTGTCATTCACTTGTTAATACGATTAAAAGTGACTTATGATTCTTTAGATGCATTTCTCTATCATTTGTCATTCATATTTTCAGAGATACAAATCAAGAATGGACACCAACCTATTTGTTCCTCAGTATCTTCATGTTTTATTCTGGATGGTTCTGGGTCAGTCATGTCTTCAATTTTCACTTTAATAAACTCCATCTTTAACAGTCACACAGATTTCAGCTGCTACTCCTGGAGTTTGTCCTTTTCTTGTAGGATGATGGGAATATTCCCAGTATTTATTGGTGAATTGTTGTGGGAGGGGCTTCACTGCAGGTGTGAACTGTGATCACTGTGTGATACTGACAGGACCAGATGGTGAATTGTTCTTAGGGGCACCAGATTGCAAAATTAAAGGTTATTCAAATTATACTTAAATAGTTTAGTAAGTACACACCTTAAATTAAATTACCATATATGTGCTTGATTTAAGAAATTATAGATAATTTTGTTATGGTTATATATTATTAGCATATTAGTTTCCTTATATATTAATTTATATTATTCATGTGACTCCAGATTTTATAAGGAGGGAACAAATCACATGTTAAATTGTTTAATTAATATACCAATTAAATAGCAATCTTACAAAGATAACATAAAAAAATCACAATATGCCTAATATCATATGCTAATCAAAACTACTAATTTAAGTCTCTGCACGTTACCCTGTGAACAACGTACATTTAGGTAAGACAAATATCAATTCATTACATTACGAATATAACATATCTGACCTGCAGACTGGAAATATGCGCATCCGAAGAAGAAAATATTCCACATTTGCTCTTCATTCATGATCGATAACAGCGTCACTTTCAGCTTCAACTGGTTAAAGTGTCATCACTCTTGTCTCGTGTCTCTCGCGCTTCTCTCTTTTTTATTGCATTATCAAGAACTTTAACATAATATACACTTACAGGGGATCACAACGTGTTCGACTGTTTTATTCATAATAGCGATAGCGTCAAAGGAAAGAAAGAAAACACAAGCTCTCGCGCTTCTCTCTGTTCTGCGCATGCTCAGTCCGCGCGGTGTCATATTTCTTAAAGGGGCCGCATTCAGTAAATCACATCTCCGCACTGTTGTGGACCAAATCCACTTTTATATTAATTAATAATGCTCAGTAATAATACATATAAATATATGGATGCAACAATAGATTCACCTTTACTCGATTACAGCTACAGTATTGTTTTTACATGTCTCCCATCTCATGTAATTGCAGCCTAATTGTAGGGTTTTCTTTTAAATAATACATGAATAGATATCTACAGCAGTGGCAAGGTGGCAAACTTTTAAGTGAGCGGATCTTGGTAAATTAAGTTGGACTTCAATGTAAACTGTGATTTATTATCAGCCAACAGTTTCATTAAAACATAATTAGTCAGAAAATAAAATAGTCAGTAAACCAAATAAGAACAAAACACATAATCACGTAAATAATCATAGGTGTGTGTGTGTGTGTGTGTAAGCCTGGACAAGAGTTCTCACTCAAACCACTGCCTGCTGTAGCTTTTGATCGTCTGATAGCATTTAAAGTCCTCTGAAGCTGAACTGAGACAGTCATTTGGACCTTGAAACTGTTGGGAGTCCATTGAAGTCCATTATATGGAGAAAATCCTGTAATGTTTTTGACAAAAAAAAACTTAATTTCTTTTCAACTGAAGAAAGACATGGACATCTTGCACTCTCAGAAAAAAAGGTACAAAAGCTGTCACTGGGGCTGTACCTTTTCAAAAGGTACACTTTTGTACCTTAAGGGTGCATATTGTTACCTTAATGGTACATATTAGCACCTAAAATGACCATATCAACACTTAAACTGTACATATTAGTACCTGAAATGTACATATTAGCACCAAAAATGTACATATTAGCACATAAAATGTACATATTAGCACATAAAACGTACAAATTAGTACCTAAAATGGACAAAAGTGTACCTTTTGAAAAGGTACAAGCCCTAGTGACAGCTTTTGTACCTTTTTTCTGAGAGTGTGGATGACATGGGGGTGAGTAAATAATCAGCAAAAGTTTTTTTTTAAAGTGAATTAATCATTTAAGACCAAACCTCCAGATTCGCAGTATGTCATGTGGGGTTACTGAGGGCCGACTAGTGTATTCATCTGCATACTGTACAGTGCACAAACACATGTAAACCAAAATATCAGGTGCCATTATAAAGACTATAACTTTACTGTTTGCTCCTTATGTCAACGACAAGCTTTGACATCAACCTGATGGTACTTCAATGACCAGCTCTTTCTACAGTAAACCAGGTATGTGCATTCACGCCATGTTATAATGGGCATAATTATGAGATCCCAGCTTCCAAGCGCTATCGTTCTCATTGAACTCGTAATTGCAACTTGTAAACTGGGAATTTTCTGAGAGTTCCTACTTTTACCACATGACCAGTGTACCACCCCACTGCTGCTGATTCATTTAGCCGTGGATAGTGTTGACTTTAAAATCTATAATTCCCAGTCAATGAACACGAATGGCTCAGAGTACAATGTCACATTTTGTCATCTTGGAATAACGGTATTACGACATTGTGTGAATGCAGCATATGGCTTTGAGTATTTGACAACAGAATCATCTGACATTATGATGTATTTGTCTATCTTTTTCTTCCTCTGTTAGTACACAGCTGACAAGGACCCATACAGACAAACTAATCCCCTGCGTTGAAAGTCAAGAAAGTCCTCCACTAAATAGTTTCAGAGTTCCAGACAAAGCGAATCTCTCGTCACAGTATTAGCACTCGTAAGGTCTTTCTCGAATATGAGTTCTGTGGTGCCGTTTCAGATGGTCAGCTCTAGTAAAGCTCTTCCCACATTTAAAGCACACATGATCTTTCACTCCAACATGTGTTTTCTGGTGCAGTTTAAAACCTTTCAGCCGTGAAAAACTCTTTCCACAGAGAGAACACACATAAGGCTTCTCATCTGAATGAACGATCAGGTGACTTTTCAGATGTTTTGATGAAATGAATTTTGTTCCACACTGATCACAGTTAAATGGCTTTTCTCCAGAGTGAATGCGCAGATGATCTTTTAAACTTTTTCCATCTTTGAAACTCTTCCCACACTGAGTACAGTGGTACGGCTTCTCTCCAGTATGAACTCGCTCATGTAGTTTCAGGTACCCAGACCGAGCAAAACTCTTGTCACAGTATGAGCACTTGTAAGGTTTTTCTCCGGTATGAATTCTTTGGTGCTGTTTCAGATGACTAGATATTGCAAAGCTCTTCCCACAGTCACAACACACATGATCTTTCACTTCATCATGTGTTTTCTGGTGCAGTTTAAAACACTTCAGCCTTGAAAAACTCTTTCCACAGAGAGAACACACATAAGGCTTCTCATCTGAATGAACTATCAGGTGTTGCGAAAGATTTGATGATGAATTAAAACCTTTCCCACACTGATCACATTTAAATGGTTTTTCTCCGGAGTGAATGTGCAGATGAACACTGAGACCTGATGATTGAGAAAAACTCTTTCCACACTGAGTGCATGGATACATTTTCTCTCCAGTGTGAATTCTCATGTGTGTCTTAAGGCTTCCTTTTTGTCTGAAACTCTTTCCACACTGAGTGCATGGATACGGTTTTTCTCCTGTGTGAATTCTTACGTGTTTTTTAAGGTCACCTTTATTTTGGAAACTCTTTCCACACTGTGAGCAGGAGTGTTCCAGGTCTGTTCCTTGAGTTTTGAAGTCACAGTGTTTCTTCACTTCAATTAGTTTCTGTCTTTGCTCCGTCACTTCCATCTTGTCTAAAATGAATGCATTAGTTAGAATCAGTTCAATGAGGTTAAATGTGAGAATTAAAAACACTCAGCAAGCAGAAAACAAGACACCTGTCTGTATAAAGTATCTCTGAAAATGTGGTTCTGTCATTCACTTGTTAAAGCGATTACAACTGGGTTATGATCATTTAGATGCATTTCTCACATCAATATTTCAGAGCTACGAAAGCAGTCAACAATGAAGAATCAAGAATGGACACCAACCTATTTGTTCCTCAGTATCTTCATGTTTTATTCTGGATGGTTCTAGATCAGTCGTGTCTTCAATCTCCTCTTTAATAAACTCCATCTTTAACAGTCGCACAGATTTCAGCTGCTACTCCTGGAGTTTGTCCTTCTCTTGTAGGATGATGGGAATATTCCCAGTATTTATTGGTGAATTGTTGTGGGAGGGGCTTCACTGCAGGTGTGAACTGTGATCACTGTGTGATACTGACGCCCACAGGACCAGATCTGGAAAAATCAGAGATAAGATATTAAATGTATATTGGATTACTTTAACAGTAAACACATATGGTGCCTTTGATTTAGTTCAAATATAGAGCATTTTGATGGTTACATTATAGTAGCATATAAAAATCATTTTAATGTAGCTAAATCCCAGCATTTAATAAGGATGAAACAGGGCACAGATTATATTCATTTAATATTTAAACCAATCAGAAATATAACATTAGACAACAGAAATTAACAATTGATTAAGGGACTGAGAATGATGGCACAAAAGGAAATAATCTAACGCTTGACCATTAATGTAGATAACAAGTATGTGTACACGATTATTATAATTTAAATGTATTCCAGATTAACATATGATATATTACTCATTATTTAATTTATTATATATTGCCAGTAACAGTTGAACTAATAGTGTCTAATTTGGTTAACTATTGTGAGGGACACCAGATCTGCCAAACTCAAGGTTACTGCATCACGATATGCGGATATGAACCCAAACGCAGACAGTAATAAATAAAACATGGATTTATTAAACAGACAGAAAACAAAAACACAGGAGGGGCAAACGAACGTTGAAAAGACTAGACTGATAAACTTGACATTAACATGAGACTAACAGGTAGGGATGACTGACACGAAATTGTCATTCCGAAGCTTTGCGAGAAGTGAAGTTAGCTCATCTTGACCGCGTGGGTAATATTTTGGAGAGAGAGTTTAATTTGTGTGTATGGGGTAGGCTAAACTGCAGTGATGTGATGAGCGGACAGATGTACGGCACTAGGCTATATGTTTATGTTTGTATAGTGATGTTTTTATAGGTCTGGTGAGACCAAAGAAAGTTTTCCAGCCTTCCAAAGATGAGAAATTTATATTTTTAATAAGAATCTCTAAAAAGTGAGACATTGTGGCTTGATTTCTTTAATTATTCATTGGTCAGGACCAAAATAACATTCTGCACAGTAAGAAGCCTCCAGTTTACAAGCTTCACATATTAGAAAAATAGCTACAACAATTAAAAAAACACATTTTTATTCGCTTGTTGTCGAGGTTGTTTCAGATCAACACCTGCAAGTGGTGTCACAGTGGAGAAGGGTGTCGGATTGATTCGAAGCCTTGACACAATATGGCACATTTGGTTCAACTGTTTCATTGCTTCACATAGCCTCGATCTGTCCACCACTACTAACAGGCAGAATACAAACTCTGATCACGGGAATACACAGCTCACAAAACATGATGACAAGATACGAAATGAACAAGCACCGAGTAACAAACCCAAGGACCTTAAACGACACAAGAACAAATCCTGACGTTCTGAGATTATACAATTTAAATGACCATATCTGTTTGATTTCAGAAATATTTAATTTGTATATGTATATGTAGTTGTATATATAATTTGGTTATATCATTTTAAAACGGATCTATCAAAGTAGATAAGCTCATTTACGTGACAAAAGATTTTATAAGGATGAAACAAGTGAAAGGTTAAATTCTTCCATTCTTAATATATTAATTAATCCGGAGTCTAACAAAATAACAGAAGTCACAATGTGTACAGACTGAAGAGTGGCTAATCAAAATAATTCCCTGTACGTTACAATATACATTTAACACAAACATCAATTCTTACATTATAAATATAACATATCTGACCTGCAGACTGTAAATATATGACATCCGAAGAAAATATTCCACATTTGTCCTTCATTCATGATCGTTAACAGCGTCACTTTCAGGTTTCAGCTTCAAATGGTTAAAGTTTCAGCGCTCGACGACTCGTCTCTCGCGCTTTTCTCTTTTTTATTGCATTAACAATAACATTAATATAATATAATACAAATACAAAGGATCACAACATGTTCGACTGTTACATTCATAATAGCATCAAAATAAACATCAAAAAGACAGAGAGAAGGAGAGAGAAGTATGAAAACAAAACTGAGCCTCTCGCACTTCTCTCTTCTGCGCATGCTCAGTGCGCGTGGTGTCATATTTCTTAAAGGGGCGGCATTCAGTAAATCACATCTCCGCACTGTTATGGACCAAATCCACTATTATAATGCACAATAATAATACATATATGTATTCAATAATATCTTCACCTTCAATCATTTACAGTTTCAGTTTTTTTCCTTTTATATATGCATGAGCAGAAATTGAAATAAATACGAAATTTAAATAAATAAAACATAGCAACAAAATTTAAATAAATAAAAACAAAATTTAAATAAATAAAAACGAAATTCAAATATATAATGGCATGCACTTCTGTCCACACACACTCGACTGTTCTGCGCTCTAGCCTGAGAGTACTCCCATTGCAGGAACACTTTTAGTAGTCCAAGAAGCAGCATATGTATTTATCAAGATTTTATACTTATTGAAGCGCGAATGAGAACCGTTTCGAGTGGGATGTCAGGTGTGCAAAAGAATCAAATGTCATATTTTCAAATCAATACCAACCCACCGAACGAATATTCGGGTGCAGCCCTAATCTTTTCTTTCAAAACAAAACCAAAGGTTAAAAAAAATTGACAGAGCACAGTGTGTCAAGAGTAAATAAGGCACTGTCTTCTCCTATTACTACTAACACAGAAGCTCCACAAGGGAGCACCATTTCCCCAGTCTTATTTACTTATTTAGTTGCACCTTCGCATAATTTGGATAGCACTCAAGGGGGATGTTTGTGTTGGCAAAGCAGTTGTTTGGTTGTTGATGTTTGCTGTATGACAAAAAACGAATTTCCGTAAGGACTAAATAAATATCTATCTATGACAATTTCAGACCCAAACATGATTTCTAAGTGGGGGAACTTGCAAAATAGCAGGGTGTTCAAATACTTATTGTCCTCACTGTATATGAATGATTATGGGACAATGAATATATTTTATTACTGAATTTTATAAAGGAAATAAATAAGCATTCAGAAGGATATGATTATAGATATATTTAAAGAGACAAGGGATTTTGATCAAACCCTTCAAAGTGTTTCAAGTTAACCAATCTTTTCACCACATTAACAAACTTAATATAGATGATATAGTTCTTGAAAAACTCCATATTTTATCTCAGTGCAATTTCATGTATTTGACATGAAAACTAATGTTGTTCACTTCAAACATTTTTTCATACGAGTTTGAAGAAGGCTTGATAAATGTCTAAATTTTACTCTTCTCACACGTAGTAGAGTCTTATCGCTTCTCTCCAGTGTGAAGTCGCTCGTGTGATTTCAGGTTTCCAGAATGAGCAAAACTCTTGTCACAGTATGAGCACTTGTAAGGTTTTTCTCCAGTATGAGTTCTTTGGTGCTGATTCAGATAGTCAGCTCTAGAAAAGCTCTTCCCACATTTAAAGCACACATGATCTCTCACTCCAACATGTGTTTTCTGGTGCAGTTTAAAATTGTTCAGTCTTGAAAAACTCTTTCCACAGAGAGAACACACATAAGGCTTCTCATCTGAATGAACTTTCAGGTGTGATTTTAGATCTGATGATGAAATAAACCCTTTTCCACACTGATCACAGTTGAATTTTTTTTCTCCAGAGTGAACACGCAGATGATACTTGAGTAAAGATGAAGATGTGAAACTCTTTCCACACTGAGTGCATGGATACGTATTTTCTCCAGTATGAATTCTTTGATGCAATTTCAGATCATGAGATCTAGCAAATCTCTTCCCACAGTCAAAGCACACATGATCTCTCACTTCATCATGTGTTTTCTGGTGCCGTTTAAAACTGTCCATTCGTGAAAAACTCTTTCCACAGAGAGAACACACATAAGGCTTTTCATCTGAATGAACTTTCAAGTGTAGTTTTAGATTTGATGATGAAATAAAATATTTATCACACTGATCACAGTTAAATGGTTTTTCTCCAGAGTGAACGTGCAGATGATAACTGAGAGCTGATGCATGAGTAAAACTCTTTCCACACTGAGTGCATGGATACGGTTTCTCTCCAGTGTGAATCCTCATGTGTCTGTTAAGGTTTATTTTATTTTGGAAACTCTTTCCACACTGAGAGCAGGAGTGCAGCTTTTTGGCTTTTTTCCCTTGAGTTTTGAAATCACAGCGTTTCTTCACTTCACGTCTTTGCTCCTTCACTTCCAGCTGGTCTAAAATAAACATATAAATCAGTTAGAATCAGTTCAATGATGTTAAATGTGTGAATTAAACACACTTGACTTAGCAATTAGAAAACAAGACACCTGTCTGTATAAAGTATCTTTAAAAGTTCAGTTTTGTCATTCTCTTGTTAAAACGATTAAAACTGGCTTATGATCATTTACATGCGTTTCTCTGTCATTTGTAATCCATGTTTCAGAGCAACGAAAGCAGTCAACAATGAAGAATCAAGAATTGACACCAACCTATTTGTTCCTCAGTATCTTCTTGTTTTATTCTGGATGGTTCTGGATCACTCATGTCTTCAATCTCCTCTTTAATAAACTCCATCTCCTCTTTAATCTCCTCTTTAATAAACTCCATCTTTAACAGTCACACAGATTTCAGCTGCTACTCCTGGAGTTTGTCCTTCTCTTGTAGGATGATGGGAATATTCCCAGTATTTATTGGTGAATTGTTGTGGGAGGGGCTTCACTGCAGGTGTGAACTGTGATCACTGTGTGATACTGACGCCCACAGGACCTGATCTGGAAAAATCAGAGATAAGTTACTGAATTTATACTGGAATACTTTAACAGTAAACACATATGGTACCTTTGATTTAGTGTATAGCATTGCGATTGTTCGCATTGTTACTAATATTATTATACATATTAGTAGCATATAAAACAACTGTAGATTGATCATTTTCATGTAAGTCAGGAGGATATAATAAGGATGAAACAGGGCACAGGTTCTATTATTCAATTACTATCTAAACTAATCAGAAATGTAACATAAGATGACAGAAATCAACCATTGATAAGGGACTGAGAATGACACGACCATAAAAATGTGTATAACAAGTACTTAACATTATTATAATAATTTAAGTGTTTTTTTTCAGAATAATTTATCATATATCGCTCATTATTTAATTTCAATTATCATATTGCAATTTTTGGTTGAACTAGGCTTAAACTTTCTAAATTGGTGAACTATTGTGAGGGACGGCAGATCTGCCAAATTCAAGGTTACTGAGTTTACTTTAATAATTACACTTCTTAAATGAAATGGCCATATGTGCTTGATTTAAGAAATATAGATAATGTTGATACGGTTATGTAGCATTTAAAACGGCTTTAAATAAAGGTTGTTCATTGTTATGTGACTCCAGATTTTATAAGAATATGCCTTACGCTTTGTGACCAATACCTCTCCATGCACTCATCATTGTACCTTGTATGAATTGGTGGGTTGGACTTCTTTGTTTCAGAGGAGAAAAAGTATGTTGATGTTTATTGCTAAGGCTTTGCTAGGCAAATTACCAATTTATATATGTCGTTTATTATCTTGCTGCATTTATAATTATAGCACTAGATCTAGTGAAATTTAAAAAAACTGCTTTTAAAGGTTCCTAGAGTGCGTTCAGAGCTTGGTAAAACTGCTTTTTCTTTCTATGCCCCTTGGTTATGGATAAAAACTCTTCCCCCTTTAAACGTTTTTAAAAATCTTTTATTGACATATTTAAAGGAAAAGTGTGCTTGTTTTGTAAAGTAACTTTTGTCTATTTTATGAGCGCTGGGTAAAATTCTATGTAAGATTGAGTTTTATGTCTGTATTGTAATATATGTGAAACTTTTTTGTGCTGCCATTTTGGCCAGTACTCCCTGGAAGAAGAGATTTTTATCTCAATGGGACTATCCTGGTAAAATAAAGGATAAATAAAAATAAATAAGAATGAAAAAAGTCACATGTTAAATTATTAAATATCAATTAACGTTCTACAGGAATCTTACAAAGATAACAGAAATTATACAAAATAAGCCTACGTATTATCAAAACTAACGGTAATGATTTAATTATCTGTACGTTATTATGCTACGAACTGGACATTTGAGCAACACAAAATTCTTTCATGATAAATATAACAACTCTCACCTGCAGACTGGAAATATGCCGCATATATTTCACATTTGCTCTTCATTCATGATCGTTAACAGCGTCACTTTCAGCCTCAAATGGTGAAAGTTTCAGCTCTTGTCTCGTGTCTCTCGCGCTTCTCTCTTTTTTATTGCATTAACAAGAACTTTAACATAATATACACTAACAGTGGATGACAAAGTGTTCGACTATAACATTTATAGCAGCGTCAAATAAAACAACAAAAAGAAAGAGAGAGACAGAAGAAAGAAAACAAAGCTATTCAAAGGTTCTCGCACTTCTCTCTTCCGCGCATGCTCAGTGCGCGCGGTGTCATATTTCTTAAAGGGGCCGCATTCAGTAAATCACATCTACGCACTGGACCAAATCCACTATTCTAACAATTAATAATGCACAGTAATAATATATATAATATATGGATTAACAAATAGATTCACCCTTACATAAATTCACGGATCTTGGTGAATAAAGTTGGACCTCAATGTATAATGAGATTTATTGACAGCCAACAGTTTCATGAAAACAACAAAATACATTTAAAAATAAAATAGCCAGTGAACATAATATGAATAAAACCCGAAGGTAAATAATCATTTATTTATTTTTTATACCTTTAAATGTGTCTAAGGCGGCTGGACTAGCCTGGTTCAACCAGACTGTTGTACATTTCATTTGTATAGAGCGTCTGGCCTCTCTCCATTTGAGAAACGTTTACTTCCTTGTGGGTTCTCTGTTAAAGTTCAAAACTATTGGATCAGCCCAGAGTCACTCGGGATCTGGCATAGCCAATTGCTAATGTGTGGAATGATCAGATGATAATGTTTTTATATTTGAAATTAACCATTCTATTTCATCAGAAACGATCTTAAAACAGGGCTTTAATGGCTCGTTTCCACTGAGTGGTACCGTACAGTACGGTACAGTTTGGTTCGGTACGCAATTATTTGCGTTTCCACTGTCAAAAGTTGTGAATGGTACCAAAAAGCCGAACCGTACCACTTTTTAGGAACCCTTTCGTTAGGGTACCTAGCACAGTGAAAGGGTACTAAAAGGTGGAGCTAGACTCACTGCAGAACGGTGATTGGTGGACAGAGTATACAGTTGAAATATAATTCTACTGTTATTGTGTTACGAAATGTAGTTTTAATAGTTTTTCAGGCGAGAAAGTAGTTTTTTAAAGATCAAATCTGTGGTTTATTTATAGATTTATGATAATTTAACAGAGATCCATTCCAAGCGATCACCGGACGCTCGCGCTCGTGTCCCCCGCCTGGAACAGCCTTTCCTCGGCGAGTCGTTCTGATGTTTGCCGCTGACTCGTACGTCTCTGTAGTGGTTAAACATGAGATAGGTCGTCTTGTATAAACCTAACAGGTGATCTTTGGTCTCGTGAATCTATAATTCGTTTTCTGGCCAATAGTTTTGGCAGAATTCAGGCTACGTGAAGTTTCATATCTTTGAGCGCTGAATTTGTATATTTGACTGACTAAATTGTTTCTTTATATTATTTAAACTTTACTGTATATCTTTTTGTACATTTTACTTATACTTTATAATGGCTATTATTATTGATAAAACTGAAATTTAACAAAAGAGATAGTTTTGTCATTTTTTTTTTATTTTATTACAAGATCATCTGTTGTTTATTTCAACATTTGTACCAATGCGATATGCAATACATTACATATTGCCTGGAATATGTTTAATATTTTAAAATTTAAACGAAAAGGGGCAGGGTTGTGTTTATATTTAGTTTTGTTATATATATAATGTTACATACATGCAGTGAATATAATCAATAGGCTAAGCGTTGCCTGAACCACATTTGTGTGCTTTATAATGTTAAAAATGTATTGAAATGAAATCGAAAAGAAGCAGAGTGGTGTTTTATAACATATTTCGTTTTATTGTTGCCTAAAATGAACATGCAGAGATAACCGGAGTCGCAGAGCCAGAGCGAGAGCCAGTGTTCTCCCAGCGTTCAAGAACGCGCTGTTCCATAACCTGCAACCAAAATGACCAACACACACACCGACACACTGCTTTTCCAAGGCTGAATTTGGCCAGGCCAGACTGATGTCATGAAGTAGCGTGTGTATGAAACGCCAATTCGTATTTCCATTTTTGGCGTGCTATGAAGACGCATAATCGCTTTTCAGCGTGTTTATGAACGCCGTTGACTTAACGTTATTCCTGTATATATAAATATATGACTTACCTCAACCCCACCCCTAAACCTAACCTAACGGGTTAATGGCATTTATGACTGAACATTTGACGGCGTGTACGGACACGCGGAATCACTCGGACGTTAATGGCGTAGACATACACGCGGTTTAGCTCAAAATGCGTAGAGATAACACGCTACTTGACTCGTGTATGTTTACGCAAAAGTCATGATGGCCAGGCTCTAACTATAAACAGGAGAGTCGTCTCAAAACATCAAGGTAATGCCTTCTTTCTCTCAAGGAAAGCTAAACTTTAGTCTAACTGGAAAGTAAGGCTTTAACAAAGACGTGCTATTCGCGTCCGGTGTGAATCAGAGATCCAGACTGAACAAAACTTGTCACAGTATGAGCACTTTTAAGGTTTTTTTTTCCCAATATGAATTCTTTGGTGACGTTTCAGATAACTAGATGTAGTAAATCTCTTCCCACAGTCACAAGACACATGATCTCTCACTTCATCATGTGTTTTCTGGTGCACTTTTAAAATGTTCAGTCGTGAAAAACTCTTTCCACAGAGAGAACAGACATAAGGCTTCTCATCTGAATGAACTTTCTGGTGTTGATTTAGATTTGATGATGAAATAAAATCTTTCCCACACTGATCACAGTTGAATGGTTTTTCTCCAGAGTGAACGTGCAGATGATAACTGAGAGCTGACGCATGAGTAAAACTCTTTCCACACTGAGTGCATGGATACGGTTTCTCTCCAGTGTGAATTCTCATGTGTCTGTTAAGGTTTCCTTTTCCTCTGAAACTCATTCCACAGAGAGAACACAAATGAGGTTTAACACCTGTATGAAAATTCAGGTGTTTTTTGAGATATGATAGTAAAGTAAAAACTTTTCCACACTCAGAGCAGTGGTACGGCTTCTCTCCAGAGTGAATTTGCTCATGTCGTTTCAGGGTTCTAGAATAAGTGAAACTCTTGTCACAGTATGAGCACTTGTAAGGTTTTTCTCCAGTATGAACTATTTGATGCTGTTTCAGATGACTAGATGTGGTAAAGCTCTTCTCACAGTCACAACACACATGATCTCTCACTTCATCATGTGTTTTCTGGTGCCGTTTAAAACTGTCCAGTCGTGAAAAACTCTTTCCACAGAGAGAACACACATAAGGCTTCTCATCTAAATGAAGTTTCAGGTGTTGATTTAGATTTGATGATGTAATAAAATCTTTACCACACTGATCACAGTTGAATGGTTTTTCTCCAGAGTGAACGTGCAGATGATAACTGAGAGCTGACGCATGAGTAAAACTCTTCTCACACTGAGTGCATGGATACGCTTTCTCTCCAGTGTGAATTCTCATGTGTCTGTTCAGGTTGCCTTTGTGTCTGAAACTCTTTCCACACTGTGAGCAGGAGTGCAGCTTTTTGGCTTTTGTTTCTTGAGTTTTGAAGTCGCAGTGTTTCTTCACTTCATTTAGTTTCTGTCTTTGCTCCTTCACTTCTATCTGGTCTAAAATAAACATATGAATCAGTTAGAATCAGTTCAATGATGTTGAATGTGAGAATTAAACACACTTAGCAAGGGCTGTGACGGTATGGGATTTTTTTTCACCGCGGTGAAGCAGCAAGAAATCTCGCAGTTTGGCGGTTAACCAAAAAAAAATATATATATACATCACCCGGAGTCGAGTCACACACTGCAGACGCGATCAAGAACATGTAGCTTGTAAATGACAACGTAAATGATTCATTATTATCAAGCTGTATTCTTTATTAACAAATTAACATCTATATAAAATAAATAAATATTAACAATTAACTATTAATTAAGCAAAACATAATTTTTTTAAATAATTATGAAGCTGTTTTCTTTATCATTAACAGCAAATTAACGTTTGTATTAAATTGTAAATAATAATAAAAAAACTATTAATTACGCAAAACTTAAACAACCTTTTTTAATAATTAATATTCCTTAGAATAATAATAATCCTTATTATTTTACTTTCAAAAATGAAAATTTATGTTAATGTGTAAATATTAATAATTAACTATTATTAGGCTTAACATAAACCTTTTTTAAAAGTGCAAAATAAAAGAGCAAAAGTCTGAACAAGTGTTCGGATGTTGGGCGCTTAAGTGAATCGTCAAGTCCAGCTGCTTTATTTTTTAGGTTTCGAGACAGGAAAACATGTTAACTTTGTCCGGTTACAGTGAGGATCTTAACGGAGAGGCGTGTTTCCATAACAAATTTGCACAAAACTTTCGCTAATTATCCTAAATGTCGATAAAAAAAAACTATAGCGAAATGACGGCGTTTCCATTAACCGATGTTATGCGACTAAAACTTCTTTTTTTTCTTCTCCCGTTTCTCCCTCATTTCTGCACGGCTTTTAGAATCAGGTTTAGAATCCAGTAGGCCTATTCCTGTAATTATTGTTTATTTTATAAACCTAATAAAGAACTCTGTCTCGTATTATGTCAGTGTACTTATGTCCATTCATTTTTCATTATATAACCCGTAATTGCAAAACGAAAAATGAACAGTTGTTGTATGCATATTTGAATAGGCTACAATTTTTTTATTTCAACTGTAGGCTACACGCCAAATGCTGTGCAAAAAATATACCTAAATATTGACACATTTTTCAAAACAGATTTTTGTTTATGACTTTTTGCCCCTTTATTAAACATTTAAAATATTCACAAATGAATATGGAAAAAAATGTAGATTTTACTGGATTTCTAAATCCAAATTAGAACCTGGAAATGAAATTGAATGAGTGCAGAATGAGAAGAGCCATATAACCAGACTATAGAGGTGATTTATAGGTGAGTTATAGACTATAATAGCCTGAATATGTCTGAAAAAAAATCTCCATCTCCGCTGTTAAGCGGACGCACCAGAGAGAAATGCACGTTTCATACGCATTACATAATTAGAAAGGTACCGGTATTATTCGTTATTGTGATTTTACACACAAATAAAAGTAGTTGCAAATAATGTATTATTATTTTCTGTATGACCAGAAATGATAGAGTAGATGGTGATGTTTCATCTGTTGATAGGAAAATGCAAGTGTTCATGATCATTTACATGCATTTCTCTGTCATTTGTAATCCATATTTTCAGAGATACAAAAGCAGTCAACAATGAAGAATCAAGAATGGACACCAACCTATTTGTTCCTCAGTATCTTCATGTTTTATTCTGGATGGTTCTGGATCAGTCATGTCTTCAATTTTCACTTTAATAAACTCCATCTCCTCTTTAATCTCCTCTTTAATGAACTCCATCTTTAACAGTCTCACAGATTTCAGCTGCTACTCCTGGAGTTTGTCCTTCTTTTGTAGGATGATGGGAATAGTCCCAGTATTTATTGGTGAATTGTTGTGGGAGGGTTGTGCCCACAGGACCAGATCTGGAAAAATCAAAGATAAGTTACTGAATTTATACTGGATTACTTTAACCTTAAACAAATGAAAACAGGGCACAGGTTCTATAATTCAATTAATATCTAATCAGAAATGTAACATAAGATGACAGAAATCAACCATTGATTAAGGGACTGAGAATGATGACACAAAAAGAAAATAATCTAAAACTTTATCAAAATGTCGATAAAAAGTACTTTACAATATTATGATAATTTAAGTGTTGTGTTTTTTTTCAGAATAATTTATCACATATTGCTCATTATTTAATTTCATTTATCATATATTGCATTTTTGATTGAACTAGGCTTAAACTTTCTTAATTGGTGAACTATTGTGAGGGATAGCAGATCTGCCAAATTCAAGGTTACTGAGTTTATACTTTAATAATCACACTTCTTAAATGAAATGGCCATATGTGCTTGATTTAATAAATATAAACAATGTTGATACGGTTATGTAGCATTGCCTAACATTAAATAAACTAAGCTAATCAATACTAACATTAATGATTAACGTTAATGATTTAATTCTCTGTACGTTACGCTACGAACTGGACATTTTGGCAACACAAACATCAATTCTTTCATGATAAATATAACAACTCTCACCTGCAGACTGGAAATATGCGGCATTTATTTCATATTTGCTCTTCATTCATGATCGTTAAACAGCGTCACTTTCAGCCTCAACTGGTGAAAGTTTCAGCTCTTGTCTCGTGTCTCTCGCGCTTCTCTCTTTTTTATTGAATTAACAAGATCTTTAACATAATAAACACTTACAGTGGATGACAAAGTGTTCGACTATAACATGTATAGCAGCGTCAAATAAAACAACAAAAAGAAAGAGAGAGACAGAAAAAAGAAAACAAAGCTATTCAAAGGTTCTCGCGCGTCTCTCTTCCGCGCATGCTCAGTGCGCGCGGTGTCATATTTCTTAAAGGGGCCGCATTCAGTAAATCACATCTACGCACTGGACCAAATCCACTATTATAACAATTAATAATGCACAGTAATAATATATATAATATATGGATTAAAATAGATTCACCCTTACATAAATTCACCGGATCTTGGTGAATAAAGTTCGACCTCAATGTATAATGAGATTTATTGTCAGCCAACAGTTTCATGAAAACAACAAAATACATTTAAAAATAAAATAGCCAGTGAACATAATATGAATAAAACCCGAAGGTAAATAATCATTTATTTATTTTTTATACCTTTGAATGTGTCTTAAGGCCAATTTATACTTCTGCGTCGAGGGTACGCCGTAATGTGCGGCGTTGGCTACGCACGTAAGCGACGCCATTATGAGCGTTTATACTTTTGCGTTCAGGTCTTGTTGCTCTGCAGTACTGCTCCGAAACGCTAGTTGGCGGCGGAGAGTTTTAATGTTCCACTGTGTTTAGATTCCTCGCGGCTAGGGAACTACAAGCAATAGCGACTGAAAGAGAGTGGATCATGTTGGAGTTGGAGCTTATTGAGGTGGAAAAACAGTTCACTTTAGTGAAATTACTAAAACTGAAAGGCAGAAATGAGAGAAGACGTCGGAGGAGATGGTACGTGTGGAAATCATAGACAGTGATGGAAATGCGTGAGAAGGTGCGTGCGGAAATGCGTAGGAGGAAATGCGATGCTACCAAGCCGACCAATCACCGATCTTGCGGTCCGCGTCGTCGCGACGTGTTGTTACATTTTTGAGGAGGTGCGCGTCAGGCGACGGCGAAGGGTACGCGCAATGGGACGCGTCTGTACGTATGCTACGCCGTACCTACTGCGCGCACCCTACGCAGAGGTATAAATTGGCCTTAAGGCGGCTGGACCAGCCTGAGAAACGTTCACTTCCTTGTGGGTTCTCTGTTAAAGTTCAAAACTATTGGATCAGCCCATGTCACTCAGGATCTGCCATAGCCAATTGCTAATGTGTGGAATGATCAGATGATAATGTTTTTATATTTGAATGTAACCATTCTATTTCATCAGAAACGATCTTAAAACAGGGCTTTAATGGCTCGTTTCCACTGAGTGGTATGGTACAGTTCGGTTCGGTACGCAATTATTTGCGTTTCCACTGTCAAAAGTTGTGAATGGCACCAAAAAGCCGAACCGTACGGTACCACTTTTTAGGTACCCTCAGAGCCCAACTAACGGAGAGCATTGGCACTTCCTATTAGCCCCGTTGTGTATTATCTTGGTTGCAGTTCCATTAGAATTCCACTGGAGGTGATCGCGGGCGAGCGCAGAATGAATGGGAGTCTATGGGGCTAAATGGCTAAAAGTGTCTCTTTCACCTGCTTGTCGTTAAATTAACATAGATTTTATTGTTGATTACGCAAGTTCAATATAGATTATAGGCCAAAAGTCGAATGAACGAGTACTTATGTCCTTTTGATTTCTTACAGGTTAGGGTGTTCTGCTATTGTGTGACGTCATCACATTTTTGAACGGATTTTTAGAACAGATAAGTGAACTTAAATATGCAATTTTCAGCTGAGTGTATTATCTTAGCCCTCCCTTTTGAATGCAACTTTCAAATTACTTGACTAAAAATTACATCCTGAGAAAAGTGGATTTACGGGGGTGAAACCCCATTGACTCCCATTCATTCTGCACTCGACCGCATGGACCGAGACGTGTTACTGCAATCAGTCCAGAACCCGGAAGTAACCAGCCAGTGCCAATTATCTTCAATTAGACATTCTCTGGTACCCTTCCGTTGGGGTACCTAGTGGCGCTTTTCCACTGCATAGTACGGTACGGTTCGGCCCAGTACGCTTCGACTCGGCGCGGAACAGTTCGGTTCGCTTTGCGTTTCCACTGCAGTAGTACCCCTTCCAAGTGTGTGGGGCTGATCGTTATTTGCGCGCGCCTCTACTGCCATGACATCATCTTAAAAGCGCCACATTTTCAAACCCACAACACAGGAACAATGGAGACTATCGAGGGGATGGTGTTCCTGATTCTCGGTATGTGGTTGTTTTTAACTGCTAGACGGAAAAATGTGTTTAAAATGAGGCTGATGGCAGCAAAACAAAAATACTGCTAAAAAAGTGTCGTGTCTCGTGTCGCAAATCCAATGACGCTAGTAGTGACGATTCTGTCTGACCAATCAGTGATCTGCAGTGTTTCACGTCACATTTTAGAACCGGTATGGTACGCTTGGAACCTCAACAGACTAGGTACCATTTAAAGCGACCTGAAGCGAACCGTACTGTACCGTACCATGCGGTGGAAAAGCACCACAAGTGAGCCGTACCGAACCGAACCGTACCGTACTATGCAGTGGAAAAGCGCCATTGCACAGTGAAAGGGTACTAAAAGGTGGAGCTAGACTCACTGCAGAACGGTGATTGGTGGACAGAGTATCGTCACTCGCGGTTGAAACAGTTGAAATATAATTCTACTGTTATTGTGTCACGAAATGTAGTTTTAAGAGTTTTTCAGGCGAGAAAGTAGTTTTTGAAAGCTCAAATCTGTGGTTTATTTATAGATTTATGATAATTTAACAGAGATCCATTCCAAGCGATCACCGGACGCTCGCGCTCGTGTCCCCCGCCTGGAACAGCCTTTCCTCGGCTAGTCGTTCTGATGTTTGCCGCTGACTCGTACATCTCTGTAGTGGTTAAACATGAGATAGGTCGTCTTGTATAAACCTAACAGGTGATCTTTTGTCTCGTGAATCTATAATTCGTTTTCTGGCCAATAGTTTTGGCAGAATTCAGGCTACGTGAAGTTTCATATCTTTGAGCGCTGAATTTGTATATTTGACTGACTGAATTGTTTCTTTATGTTATTTAAACTTTACTGTATATCTTTTTGTACCTCTTACTTATACTTTATAATGGCTATTATTATTGATAAAACTGAAATTTAACAAAAGAGATAGTTTTGTCATTTTTTTTTATTTTATTACAAGATCATCTGTTGTTTATTTCAACATTTGTACCAATGCGATATGCAATACATTACATATTGCCTGGAATATGTTTAATATTTTTAAATTTAAACAAAAAAAGAGGCAGGGTTGTGTTTTATATTTAGTTTTGTTATATATATAATGTTACATACATGCAGTAAATATAATCAATAGGCTAAGCGTTGCCTGAACCACATTTGTGTGCTTTATAATGTTAAAAATGTATTGAAATTAAATCGAAAAGAAGTAGAGTGGTGTTTTATAACATATTTCGTTTTATTGTTGCCTAAAATGAACATGCAGAGATAACCGGAGTCGCAGAGCCAGAGCGAGAGCCAGTGTTCTCCCAGCGTTCAAGAACGCGCTGTTCCATAACCTGCAACCAAAATGACCAACACACACACCGACACACTGCTTTTCCAAGGTTGAATTTGGCCAGGCCAGACTGATGTCATGAAGTAGCGTGTGTATGACACGCCAATTCGTATTTCCATTTTTGGCGTGCTATCAAGACGCATAATCGCTTTTCAGCGTGTTTATGAACGCCGTTGACTTAACGTTATTTCTGTATATATAAATATATGACTTACCTCAACCCCGCCCCTAAACCTAACCGTCACTGGGGTTAATGGCATTTATGACTGAACATTTGACGGCGTGTACAGACACGCGGAATCACTCGGACATTAATGGCGTAGACATACACGCGGATAGCTCAAAATGCGTAGAGATAACACGCTACTTGACTCGTGTATGTTTACGCAAAGGTCATGATGTCATGTTGGCCAGGCTCTAACTATAAACAGGAGAGTCGTCTCAAAACATCAAGGTAATGCCTTCTTTCTCTCAAGGAAAGCTAAACTTTAGTCTAACTGGAAAGTAAGGCTTTAACAAAGACGTGCTATTCGCGTCCGGTGTGAATCACAGATCCAGACTGAACAAAACTCGTCACAGTATGAGCACTTTTAAGGTTTTTTTTTTCCAATATGAATCCTTTGGTGATGTTTCAGATAACTAGATGTAATAAAGCTCTTCCCACAGTCACAACACACATGATCTCTCACTTCATTGTGTGTTTTCTGGTGCTGTTTAAAATTGTCCAGTCGTGAAAAACTCCTTCCACAGAGAGAACACACATGAGGCTTCTCACCTGAATGAACTTTCTGGTGTTGATTTAGATTTGATGATGAATTAAAATCTTTACCACACTGATCACAGTTAAATGGTTTTTCTCCAGAGTGAACGCGCAGATGATAACTGAGAGCTGACGCATGAGTAAAACTCTTTCCACACTGAGTGCATGTATACGGTTTCTCTCCAGTGTGAATCCTCATGTGTCTGTTAAGGTTTACTTTTCCTCTGAAACTCTTTCCACAGAGAGAACACAAGTGAGGTTTACCACCTGTATGAAATGCTAGGTGTTTTTTGAGATATGATAGTAAAGTAAAAACCTTTTCCACACTCAGAGCAGTGGTACGGCTTCTCTCCAGAGTGAATTTGCTCATGTCGTTTCAGGGTTCTAGAATAAGTGAAACTCTTATCACAGTATGAGCACTTGTAAGGTTTTTCTCCAGTATGAATTATTTGGTGCCGTTTCAGATCATGAGATGTAATAAAGCTCTTCCCACAGTCACAACACACATGATCTCTCATTTCATTATGTGTTTTCTGGTGCAGTTTAAAACTGTACAGTCGTGAAAAACTCTTTCCACAGAGAGAACACACATAAGGCTTCTCGTCTGAATGAACTTTCTGGTGTTGATTTAGATTTGATGATGAAATAAAATCTTTCCCACACTGATCACAGTTGAATGGTTTTTCTCCAGAGTGAACGTGCAGATGATAACTGAGAGCTGACGCATGAGTAAAACTCTTCTCACACTGAGTGCATGGATACGCTTTCTCTCCAGTGTGAATTCTCATGTGTCTGTTCAGGTTGCCTTTGTGTCTGAAACTCTTTCCACACTGAGAGCAGGAGTGCAGCTTTTTGGCTTTTGTTTCTTGAGTTTTGAAGTCGCAGTGTTTCTTCACTTCATTTAGTTTCTGTCTTTGCTCCTTCACTTCTATCTGGTCTAAAATAAACATATGAATCAGTTAGAATCAGTTCAATGAGGTTAAATGTGAGAATTAAACACACTTAGCAAGGGCTGTGACGGTATGGGATTTTTTTTCACCGCGGTGAAGCAGCAAGAAATCTCACAGTTTGGCGAAAAAAAATTCACCCGCAGTCGAGTCACACACCGCAGTTGAGTCACACGACACGAGT